AAGTGAGCAAGTTTCGAGAGGTAGCGAGAGAGTTTGTCCAACTTTGAAAATGGTACAAGTTTAACGCCCCTATCAACACTATTAGGTTATTTAAGAGTCTGACCTAGGAGATAAACGTCCATCTCCGAAAGGACTTAGCCAAAAAAATGGGAAATTCGCGTAAAGTGCTTTGCCCAAGGACACAACGTCGGGCCGAGCTGAGGCTCGAACCCCCGAACCTGCAACCTAACGATTACGAGTCCGGTAGCCTAACCACTAGACCACCGACGCTACACCCTGTGCAGCTTTGCCACAAGCCAAACTTCCTCTGGCATTGGTATATCGTGGTGACGTAACATACGCATTTATTTTCTTATGTCCCTACTCATTGATTAGTATTGACACCTACACTGCCACACACTGACAAAACGCCTTCTTCTTATTCACAGCAGTTTTGAAAAATCACCGCTTTTCGGTTTTCTTATAATATTATTTGTTGAACATTGGGAACGACATTCTCTTCAGGGTGTGAGACCAACCGTTGATGTATAGTGCAAAATAGTTTAGATATTATAAGAAAACAGAAAATCGTTGTTTTTCGAAACTGCTGGGAATGAGAAAAACGCGTTTTGTCAGTGTACGGCAGTACAGTGGTGTAGCAGGTCGGCACTTCGCTGTCGCTACCAGAAGACTTGAGTTTGATAACGTGTGAGGCGTTTATTTTTTCCTCATCTGTGTCTATGAGCTAGGACGCTGTAGCCCTCTCAGAACGGGTTTGCCCTTGCAGACAGGATTTTTGTTTTAGTTTTAGTAGAGTTTTTACGGCGCCCGCAACTGTATAAAGTCATGTGAGCACCACAGACAGGATTGAACCAACTAAATTATCTTAATAGCGTCGATGGGGACATTTGGACCTGACTAATCACAGTGAATTAACCTTTTTTAAATATATCAAACTGCTCACGTGAGGTGGTAAAACATGTAATATTATATTATATATTACAAATTCACAATGCTTGTAGGGGCGATAAACGTAGACATATAATTTTTTATCGAGTAATCTGGGCTTTCCGCTGGAATTCTGTATCCCTCTCAGACCGGGCTGGCCCTGACAGGCAGGGTTGGAGTCCGTCTCCTAAATGATCTAAATTGTGCCGATTTTTTTCGGGGTTTGGGG